CAGGGTCACCCGCGGGGCCCCAGCGCTGAGTTAGATGCAGCCCCGGTGGGCACCGCAGGAGCCCCCTCAGCACCTCGTCAGGCCTTCTCCCCCCAAAACCCACAGGGGCTGCGTACCCCTGTCCTGGTGAGCCTCCAAGGCCTCCATCCACCTGGGGCCGTTGGGCCCTGTCCCCTTTGTACTTCCCATCGACCCGCCATGTTACCCGCGCTTGGGTGCTCACCCCCATCCAGCAACTGTGGCGCCAGCGTCCTCCACCCCCGTCCTCGTTTATTCCTCTGGCGAGCCCCCTTGGACCTCAAGCACCGTGTTGGTTTACCCCAAGTCACCAGCGGCTGAGGGGATGTCTTCCAGTTCAACCTCAATGTCTGCAGCGGCGGATCCCTGTCCTGACACCCGATGGGAGAGCGTGTAGTGGGTGCAGTGCCAGCCACAGTGGGGGAGAAGCAGAGACCCCCTGAGGTACCTCCCGAAACGCATCTTGTTGCTGGCACTGGTAGTGGTGGTGACTTGCTGCTTGTTTTCTACTGTTATTTACCGCTCGAGTAGGAACTGACAGCTCTGCTCATTGCTTATTCACCCAGTGCCACCCATCCAAGGTGAGCTGTGATGAAAATAAACCAGAATTTTACATTTTAATTGCAGAGATGCGATAGCCCCAAGCGCCTACCTGGCGCTGTTTTGTACTGTGGAAGGCAGGGGGATCATAACAGCCAGATACGTTTGGCCACGATACACAGGTCAGGGGAGTGATGCTGCGTTTGTGACAGACCTGCTTGGGTGCCAATCTGCCACCATTCTGCACAAAAAATTGTGTTTCTTAGCAGGGACTAACAGTTTGCTCCGTCTCAAATAAACCCCGTCAGTTCTTAAGAAATCAAAACTGACTCTAAAATTTTTGAAATACCACTTGTGGGAATAGCAACAAACCCCTGAGGGCATACTTGAGTGTAGCAAGACCATTTAATTCAACTAAGAAAAAAAAATCGCAACTCAAACAGGGTTTTGCATTTTCTCCTGCACGGTTGTGTCACTAGATGGCCTTGCAGACCGAATGCAAACGGGACTGCACCTCGCACCTCTTTCAAGGAAGACCCTGCTTTGTGCAGAGGGCAAACAAAAAGCAAGAAAAGGATATTTCAGCGATAAGGAGGAGGAGGGATGTGTAAATACCCAACGAAGTGTCATATAATTCAAATAATAAAAAAGCAGACAAATTCACATCTATTTAAAGCTAACCGTTTTACTGAGGAAAAAGTTCATGCAAGGATGTAGAATACACAAGCCGTCAAAAAAATGCTTTATGAACTGCAATCTTACATATCTTATCTGGAACACAGTAAAAGCCATCAGCTCCTGTCGACTGTAATGGCTGAGGGCATTCCAGTATCGCACAGGAATGAATGGTCTAGGAAAGAATTTTATCCTGAAACGATTTATTCAGACTTGGCTCAAACCCAGCATCACACTATGTATGATATGATCAACAGATAGTAGTTTTCCTGTAACTGAGTACTGTAATTCAGGTTTTTTTTTTCAAGTCAGTTATTGCCATAAAAGTTTTTTTGGGGATAAAAATATTTTGTGGGTCATTGTTAGGCTGTTTTTTTTGCTTTTTGGTTTTTTGCAAGTCTCACAAAACAATCTTTACATTTCTCACAGCTTTGTCTCCTTTCACATTTTATAGTTAAGGAAACTTTTTAGATTTGTACACCTTAGATTCAGGATGAAACAATATAAAATGAGAAGATTATAAAATCAACTGTAAACACGCCAAAGACCATTTTTAAGTAATGGATGTTCTATTTCAGTGAGTCAACTTAGTATTGACGAAATACAGCATTTCAGTGTCTCAGTTACTTATTTTTAATTAATGGGTATGCAGTGCTTTAGGCATAGAAAGTCCTATGCAAAAGCTAGGCATATGTTGCTGACTCCAAAAAAGTAAAATCTATATGGAATTCTGCCACTGATTTAAATGGAAGAAGATTCAACCCTCTATTAGTAAAATTCAAATCTAATCATTATTAATTGCAAGTGTCCTTCTCCTGTTTTGGCCTGTATATTGATTTTGGCACAAGTTCTGTTTCATCAAAAGCTTACGCATCTGCAGCTCAAGAGTCAATATGCATATAGAAATTTACAGTGAGTGTACCAAAATCAAGACTTTAATGGGGTACAGTAAATATCTGTGTTCCAATCTTGTTACCAATTTGTTGCTTCACGATTGCCAAGGAAAATAATAGGAAGGAGTGAAAGGTCAGCACACCGCCTAGGAAAACTGCTGGAAATTTATGATTTTTAAAAGATGCTTTAACGCTTTAGATGGTATTGATGGGTAATTCAGGTTAGTTATGAGGACACCCAAAAAAGACTCGCAGATTAGGTTTAATATTGAAGCTATGATTTTTTTTTACAATACAGGGTGATGAAATAAGTTGATACTCCCATTTCTGAAAATACCAGGCCTGGGAAAAAGTGCTTGCAACCTCCTGGACAGTTCTGGTACAATGGAAGAACCTCAAGGCATATCCTTAGCCTGACCTCCTAAGGAAACACCACCAATGCCCTTGTGCTGCCTCTCTCCTTGTCCCTTGTGACGTGCTTGAAGAAGTCAAGGAAACTGACATTTAATAATATTACAAGCCCATGAGTTTTGCGACTGTAGAGAGTCAAGTGAGGGAAGAGAAGCATAATTGTAAACCTTTCTGCTCACAAAATACTGTTTTAAATAGTAAATATGTTATCAGATTTGACAAAATATTCTGGTTAGCTACGTTCTTCTGTTTGGAGGAACTCTGAAACTGTAAAAATTTTAAGTTTCCAATCAATTAAGCTCTATCGTAGTGCATGCCCTTAGGCTAAGAAGCACGGCTTGCAGTAATATTTCTAATGGAAAATACAACTATTTTAGCTAACTTAGCTAACCAGCAAGGTCTCGTACTACTGGTACTTCCTTGTAGCCACAACTGCAGAGAGGAATAACAGCACACGCCATCTGCTGTATACTCCTATTATTAGTTTATATGGTAATACAAACTAGACAAGAAGGGGGACATGTTCTTCCTAAATGTCTTTAAAACTACGTTTTTGAAATACACTTAAGAATTTTCTTCTTGATAATACAGACCCCAGCTTTACAAAGACTTACACATAAACTTAACAATAAGAACAAGTAGCCCCATTTATGTCAAAGGAAATATGCATAAACTTAGTTAAGAATGTGCATAACAAGACAGAGCCTTAAATATTTAGTTTTGAACATTACCAGTGATATTAATTATTTGTGTTTTCAGTGATGAATACCCACTACAGCATGTACATATACAGCAAGAGACAATGCCCTGAAGAGTTTACAATAGGAAAGACAGACCCTAAAGAATGGGACTTACCACGTAAGTAGAGTGAATTTCCAATAAATTTCAGACGTTACACAAGGGCAACAATTGTTTGTCATGTGCACAGACACTGAAGAACAATCTCTGCCCCACAGAATTTAGTGTGAACTGACAGGGCAGATAGGGAAGGGGAAACTGTAACGTAGGAGAGCTGAACTGTACCTTGCATACACAAAGAAGTTACGGGTGACAATATCAGTGTAAGAGGAGAAGCCTATGACAAAGCTAAGTATATACTCAAGGTAATTCAATTTGTTTACAGAACAACTGTACAAAACTGTTTTTCAGTTGTGTTTTTGCTCACAGTGCCAACACTCTTTTGACCCTCACTCAACCCTGGAAACACCTTTTTTCAAAATCAAAGCTCCCAGTCTCCTTGACTTTCAGCTGCTTCGCAGTATCCATTTCTGCAGTGTTGGTGTTTCTCTTGCACATGCAGAGCTCCACCATCTGGTCCTCATGGCCTGGTATTTTACACACACGCCCCCACCCCGAAAAATCCCTTGGGCCACATGATTCACCATCTATTCAGATCTTGCCATGTGCCTGTTTTTTGTGTAGTAGCCCCTACTGATGTAAATCCCTTGTTTCATAAGGGCTCTCAATTGCCTTTTTCACTGAAGGCAAGGTGGCTGTGACACCTGCCAGTTTCTAAGACGTTTAATGCAACCAAAAACATTATTACATTGTTGTTTGGCTGAGTAGGAACCATTTTTTTTTTCCCAGTGAGAAGTGCTGCCAGAAAGGTATTAACTTTCTAGACTATTAAGTAATGTGGAAAAATTATATTTCAATAAGAAAATTTCCTTTCTGCCTTTTCATGCCTTAGGAATATAGTTCCTGTTTCACTTGGCTCAAGTAGCCTATGTACTAAATCAGTGTAAAAATCTTTCAATAAACTCTACATAAAATCTGTCCAAATGCTACCATAGAGTTCAGAGGGCTATGAAAGAAAACAAGACAACGGTCTGCAACAGGAGGTGTTAGCCAAATTAGACACACAACTCAGCAAAATCAGGCAGTGAATATTCAGGCACTTTGATGTAGTTCGGACGGATTTTGTTCATAAACCACACACTGACTACTACCTAGAGAGCAGCTATTTATAGGGAACGTTCTGTTTCTTGGGTTATTTTCTCTGGTATGCTTTAAATCAGGGGTGCCAACTATGTGGGCCAAATATGGCCTACCTGACGTATGCGTGGCCAGCGTGCCGTATTTTGAATCGCACCTTTCATTAGAAACTGAGTTCTTGGCTTTGCAGTTGTGGGGGGAAAAAAAACCTCCACATTACAAATTTGAAGAGTGTGTAAATCAACGTGGTAACGTCTCAGCCTGATACAGTAGGTGCTTAGGGGCCGTTTCAAGCTTCTGTTCCTCACTGAAGTGTGAATTCTCAAGCCAAGTTCTGTTGTAAAAAATGGGTAACACAAGGTTAAGATCATCCTATGCTTTTCTGGAACATTAAACACAGTGACTGATCTCTGAAAAGCATGAAATGAACAAGCAAGTGTCTGCCAACACCACCATAACTCTGCCCCCGCGGATCTGGGCGATATGTGTGTCTCCCAGATGTGCTGGCACGGCTTCACTGAGCAATGGGGAGGAATTTGTCAACACAGGCTGGCAGAGCTATCCCAGCGATGCTGGATCTCATCCTCTACCTCTGTGCTCAACAGCAAATCTGGAGAGTCGCCGGAGAGAGAGGGATTCAAAATGCCTCGTTTCAGGCGAGATCTGCAGGTTGTGTTTGCGTTGGTAGCTGTGGTTGGTTTTACCATGGGAACAGTCAGAAGCAGTGAGTTCAGGAGTGATGTGCAGGCTTACTCGTGGCTGAGTGAGAGCACAGGGCTCTGCTATAGA